TTGTGATTTTATGACGTGCTTTTTATGGCATTCCGAAAATATGCCCTGAGGGGCGTTCGGTCCGGTGCCCCGCTGAGCCAGTGCCCCAGAATAGCGCCCCGTTAACAATTAGCGCGCCCTGCACTCGATTCAATGTGATTTACAATTTAAGCATTTACGATTATTTTCTATTTCATATTGGGGAGTGGGCGCTGCTTAAGGGGTTAAAGCTCTCTCATAGTATTTTATTTTATGGCTCATGATTTTCCCAAATAATGGAAATGTTTGCACTCATTTGAAACAACATTTCTGTTGATGCTTATCCAAAAAATTTGTATTATTTTTATTTTTTCAAATATTGACAAGATTTTTATTTAAATTTTTATTGTCAGTTGTTGCCAATTTCTTGGCGTTGTCTTCAAATTCCAGCATTGTCATCGTCTCCTTCGATCCTTGTCCACTTGATTCCGTCTTTTTCCCCCACGTTGCGATTGCCTGAGCACATTTTTTGTTGTTTTTTTTTTTGTCAAATCAGCAAATGTTGCCATTGTCAACTGAATTTACCCTGCCACGTCTCGAGTCGCATTTATATTTTTTTCGTCGCTGTTCTCTTTTTCTTTTCCATTCCTGACACTGTCGACTTCGTCACTGAGCAATGCCACTAATATGAAAACAAATTTACATAATAATTTTTGCCAGATTTTTTCCAACTCCAGCTCGTTCGCATTTTTAAGTTGAAATTGCATTTGATTTTTCCCATTTAGATTTTCTCTTTTCCTTGTTCGCACACATTTCTTATGTTTGTAAAGTTCAACAACATTGCCACAGCGTATTTTGTTTTAAGTGAATTTAATTGCTTTAAACAATAATATAATTAAAATCTTTTGGCTGGCATGCCTGAGTGACAAAGTTATTGTTTTAAAGGTTCGTATTAACACTATATCTTAAAAGAGATCAAGTGGTCTAACTCCTCATGCCAAGCTGGTTTAAGTCCGTTTAATTTAAAGAACAAGCTTTAAGTACTTAAAATCTATCAAAGCAGTTTAATCTGTAACATTTAATTGATGTTATTAACTATTTCTCAACCGCAACCTAGCGAAGAGCAAGCAATAAAAGCGAACGTCACATGCATCGATACTTAAGCTCATTTATTTACTCACCTTTGCGTGCGATTTTTTCTGCCACTTTTTGCTGGCATGGCGTGCCAATAAAAATAATTGGCTATAAATGCGCTAAAAGTCAAAACAACGCCAATTGGGGTAGGTAAAGAGGCCGGTCTGCGAATGCTGCTGCAGGGGAAGGCATTGCTTTTAATTAATGAAAGCAACAGAGCCGAGTGGCACTTATACCAGTAGCGCACACACACACACACTGCTTTGGTATTTTACGACTACGCTTGGCAGCTGTGAATGCCATCTAATGTGGCAGCCACACTAGCTCTCACAGGCACCTTTGGCTGACGCTTGTCGCAGTCGGTTTCAAGTGCGTTCAGTTATAATTTTATGTGCCATTAATTTGCCACAAGTTTCACATACACACAAACACAGACACACACACACACACACATAGGTATGCATATGTGTACACTTTTAATGCATTTTGAGCATGTGTGTGAGCGGAAACTAATGAGCCTACTCTGCATTTGGGCCCTCGTCGTTGTTCTGTTTGCCTTTGACTGCGTTGCTGTTGACGCTGTTGTTGTTGTTGTCGTGGTTGCTGTTGCTGCTGCTGCTGCTGTACTGCTGCTGCTGTTGCTGCTGCTGCTGTTGCTGCTGTTATATCTGGCATTTTGTAGGACAAACGTTGACAAGCACAAACTTTTGCTATTTATAGCAGTAACGGCAGCACTTTTAATAGCCGCTTTGCTTCTGCTGCGCTCTGCAATTAACGTTGATCGCATTTTTATAGGCTGCAAAGTAAAAAAAAATGTAGTGTGTCATACTTTTGCGGGCATGTAATTATACAGCCTGTCCTATATATAAAGCAAAGCTTTAATGTGTATAGTTTCAAGTTCAGTCAAATTTTAATTCAACAGCTTTCCAGCTTACCCAGTTTTAACATACACAAAATAAAAAGTTGTTAAAGCTTTTAAATAATGTTAAGCGACTTCAAAAGTTTTCGCTTTTATATGGAATCCCCACTCTGTGTGAAGACAACACTTCAAAAAAGGTGTTCAATAAATCCAATTAAGGACCTCTTTAAAAGGCTAACGTAATTTTAAATTACATATTAAATACATATGAAAATGGCCAAATGTAATCTTAAATTCTGACAGAACAAATACAATTAAAATTGTGGTTAATTGATTTTGGATATTAATATTTACTAGTTGCGTTCAAGTAAATGCAGTTTCTTATATTAGATATTGAAAATAACTTAATATGTGTTTGATAAGCTTTATCACTCCCAACCTTCACCTTATACTGATGCCAGTCCATAAGCCGCAGATGAATGCATTGGATCACTATCAACAGTTGATTAGAAAATGAAATCTCATTAACAATATATGTATATGTCAGCAGATTAACTTCGGTCTACAAGGGTATATAATCTTCGTCGTTCTTTCTTGTTTCTCTTCACATTTACTCATGTCTTTAATATTGTTGCTTAATTTTTCACTGAGCCGCACAGACTCATAAAATGGAATAAACTTACATGTATGTGTGTATATGTGTATACAATAAACTATAAACAGAACATATAGACTGTGTATATATATAGTAAACGGATGTATATGTATCTTTATTCTGGAGCACAGTGTGCATAAAGTTTATTCTGCTCGCTTATTACTCACACGAGTATCCTTTGGAGCTCAGTTTCCTGCAGTTGCGAGTCGGAGACGCTGGCGTGAATGGTTCTTACAATTTACGAGCCGCATATCTGCCGAGTAGGTAGTTAAATCTTAAAACGAATGCAGTTCATATTTTGCAGTATTTGAATTGCCTGGCCAGAAAATCAATTCCACAACTCACATACACAACAAATACAAATACACAATACAATATTGGTTGGCTGCGGATTCAGCAGAAATTTACTAACAATGTGCTCTCCACATTTAACGATTGATTTTTGGTCGACCTTTGGTTGGAATTGTTCATGGTTTTTGCTGTCGAAGTCGCACAATTTACGTTCGCATTGCGAATTGCGTTGAGGCTGAGTGAAAATCTGTAATTAGCTAATTGCTATAATTAAATGCTTTGCTAATGTTGGCATTTCGTTTAGCTAAATGCAAAGATAATGTAAATTACATCAGGCACTCTCAGAAATTCGCCCACGTTCTCTCCATCTCCCCCTCTGTGTATCGCAGCTTGTGTGTGTGTGGCATCATCATGGGGCATCATTATTGCGGTCGCCTGCGATGTCGGCAACGCCTAATGGCAAATCGAACATATTTGCATATGAAATGAGCGAGAAATCGAAACATGGCGGCAGCCAGGCACCATCCAGGCATCAAAAAAGCAAGCGAAACGATTTCCGGTTTCAATGAATGCGTATGAGTATTTGTGTGTGTGTGTGTGTGTGTGTGTGTGTGTGTGTGTGTGTGTGCATGTGGGTGTATGTGTGTGTACTGCGAGTTAGCTCGTATGTTACTTTCGGTTAGTTAGTATGCAAACTAGTTAGCTTCCATAATAACAGTTTATGTCCATAATAAATAAAACGATGACATGTTTGCTCTCTGATTTTTCAATTAAATCTTAAGCACATCTACACGCAACTCGTCGTATGAGTAATGTTTACATTTTTGTTCTTTTTTTTGTGCTATTTTTAAGGCTATGCGAAACTTAAGCACAATACAAGCAAATTAGAATGTCCGGAGCGCTCAGCTTAATTACAAAATCAACGGCTGCTGCCAAATGCAGGAGAGAAAATACTTTACAAATTTTAATAACTTTGTTTGCCCGGGCAACAAGAAACGAAACGAAATTGCTGAGCCTAAGAAATGCAAATTAGTTTACAAGTGATTTAAATAAGATACAAAAAGTGACGAGGGACAAGCAATACAAACAGAAGACAGAGCCAGAAAAAGGGCTGCTAACAACTTTTTCGGTGCGGCCCAGGAAACAAAATTATTTTTAAATGTTGTGAAAGTAAAGTCAAGATAGGAAAAAAAAAATATTTCGATGTATATAATTGCATAATTTACAATTAATATTGAATAAGATGAGTACAATAAAAACTGATGGGACTTGAAACTCATAATATAAGCAAACGTCTTAAAATTATAATCATTAAATAAAGATTGAGTGTCTCAAATGTGATAAACATTGAAATTCATAAAAAAAATTGGTGTGTGTATGAAAACGCTGTTCTTCAAGTAATCTTTTGCTTAAAGCTAAGCCTGCAAAAAAAGCATCGTATTAATGAAAAGGCAATCGAAATTTAAGAGCTTGCCCAAAAATAACACAAGCAAATGGCAAGTGAAAGGAAATTGCTAAGAGCAAGGACTCGGAAAATAAGCCAACCCCAAAAAACATAACTCAAAAACTGGCGCCGAGGCACAAATCCAAAAAAAAAAAGAAAAGAAAACCCCTTGAATCTCAGCATACAAAAAAAATTAGCATAAAAAAAGGATTTGCGCGCTAATTTCACTTTAATGTAAGCGCGGCGACTGCGACGATGACGTCGCCGCTATTACATCACTTTTATCTCTGACCCCACCTCCCCACCCAGACCCAACACTCGCCCTCAAGTCTGTGCGCGTTTTTGTCTTTTATTTATGGCATTATTAGTGGCACTAAGTAAAAAGATCGCAGCATTTTTCTTTGCCTTCCCACTTTTCACTTGCCACTTTCCGGCGACTTTAGCTTTGGCTTCGGGCTTGACTTGCCCCAATAACAAAGTGCTAATACCCCGCGCTAATTATGCATCATTTGTAAGACAGTGTTGTTTTTCTCTCTCTCTCTCTCTCTCTTTAGCTATCTCTCCCTGACCCTCTTTCTCTCTCATCTGCCATTTTTTTGCATTTATTCTGTTGTTGTCACAACTCATCATGCCTTTCTCTATTATTGTGCTGCTTTCAGGTCCGCCCGTGCTCTCCGAATCCATAATTGGCACAATGGGACGACTGCCCTGCAATGTGACCCCGCCCATCTATGAGGATCGTGTGGCTTTGGTCATTTGGTACAAAGTTGGACTCAAAACACCCATTTATAGGTGAGTAACATACAACTATTTAAATTAGGTAACCATAAAAATTTTGTATCAATTAGTCAGGTTGATTCGATTGATAGTTAATCAACCTGTAATCTGTACATAGATCTGTATATAGAAATAAGTTCGATTCATAAACAATTTGTGAGGAAAGTAGGCATCACCATACTTTCTTACTTACATTTCTATGGACAAATCCAAAGGATAATTAGTTTTACGTTTCAAACTCAACAATACAATGAAAACTTAAAGTATTACAAAAACTTACGCTGGCTTAAGCTAAGCTTTAACAACAATCAATTTCGATTTCGATAATTAGCTCAATTCATACATTTTAGGCATGTTGTGTGCAACAATGGCTTGGATTCAGAGCCATTTTCCTTATCACATCAGAACTCATCACATCAACCTACTCATTTTTATCAACCTTTAAGCTCTTGTGTCAAATGCAGAAGGGGAACGCACATACACACAAACATACACATACGTGAGCACACACACACACATATGCGGAGGTCCATAAATAAACAAAATTGATTACCACAGACAACTTTTGCGTCCTCAACCCGCTCAACTCAGTTCAGACTCCCAACTGGCAGACAGACAGACAGACAGACAGACAAATGGGCGATGGTTGGGGTAAGTGAAATCTGCACATGTCAGTTTTGGTGGTCCTTTTTAGAGACGGGGTTAATGGCGATAAAGGGATGGGAACACGGCATTTTTTCATTTTGATTTAATGTCTGCTAATTAAGCAATTTTTTGCATGTTTTGGGGGCTGCTCAACTGCAGCCATTAAATTAGCATAACTAGAAAATTATACACAGGCAGACAGAATGGTTAAGTGGGAGACAGGCAGGCAGACGAGCCTCTAAATTGAGTAAAGTTTTTGGCTGCGAGGACGACCTGACGACCTAACCCTCAAGGTTACATATTATATGGCTGAGAAAAACTTTTTCAATTATTCATGTCAAACATTATGGCATTGTACTTCGTAGCTGGCAGAGAATCTTATATATTTTTTTTTGTTTTTTTTTTTTTTGTATCTCACAGATACGTCTGCATACATCAAAGGAGCGAAAACTTTAATTGGATTCGTTAGACTCAGCCGTATGTGTCAGTTTTATGTCGGTGTATGGGTTGTGGGTGTGTGTGTGTGTGTGTGTGTGGGTTGCGTGTCAGACACGAACACAGACGTTGATTAGCTGATTGCTAGTTGCGGCGGCAGCCAAGCTGGCAGTCAACGCTATTGACATGCGGCTGAAGCTAATTGAACTTCAGCACTTCAAGGACTTGCAAATGACTAGAGCGAAAATAGTAATTAGCGTTGCGTAACGATTACAGAGTCAAGGCGATCCAAGTTGCAGGCCACGCTTCAACTCTTGTTTGTAATTAAAAACCACTCAGCAAGTAAATTAATCATAAAACGAAACTTGCCATTTGCCAATTCCATTGCCATTGCCATTGCGATTGCCAATTTTTTCACTCTCTCTCTCTGTCTCTTTCTCTCTCTCTCTCTTCGAAAGCCAAAAATTTAATTTACTACCTACCTTAACGCCACAATGGCTGCTCAGTTTTCTGGCATTTCAAATTAGCATCGACTGAGCCTGAGCTCTTTTTTTTATTACTAACTGACATGTGATCTGACGGCTGACTGCCGGTCTACCATTCAAGCAAACTGACTACAGCAGAGTTCGCTGCTTAGTGCACAACTGCGCCAAATGATACCGCACATCAAAATTGAAATGCAATAAACACAGACCAGCACGTAAAAAGAGCATAACAGAACTGTGCTGCGAGGGTTGCCAAGGTACAAAACATAAACACGTATTTGCACATGCAACAAGCCTGAATGGCATTTGCTAACTGACTTAACGAACTTGCATCAAAACTGGCAAAACAACTACAATATCTAGGAAATTACATTAGCCTCTGTGAAAGCAAGTGGAAATTTAAACAAATGAATCAAAAGTGTAGCCTACTTCTAGAAGAGATTTGAAGAACAATGGCAGCTGTGAGTAGAGCTCTTTTCTTGTTTCGCACAGTTGAGTCTGCAGTTGACTTTTGTTGCCCAATAATTTTATTTGCTTTAGTTTTGCTACTTTTTGAAAAGAAAATGTGAACAATAATGAAACTTACGACCCACAAAGCAAAAACAGCAAAACTCAAATCCATAGTTGAGATCAGAACATGATGTAATACATCTGCAATAAGACATTATATAATATGTAACAGCACAAAGCTAACTGCTTTTCTTTCATACTTGTGCTAAAATGCCGTGAGATATTAAATTGTCAATGTGGAAATATCAAAAAAAAATTTAAAAGTCAAGGTTAACTGGTGCACCTGTAAATCTAACTCAAAGCAAACTTGTTAAAATACTATATATGTCTATAAAATGTACATGAAACTTACTCTCACGCATTGCCAGCGGCCATTCCAACACCAAAAAACAAAAACAAACTGGAAAAAGTTGCCTGCCTGCAAATCTGTTGTAAAGTTTTTAAAGTCGATGGCAAAACATTTGAAAAGGCAGCTGAAAGTGTAGAAAAAACTTTAAGACTATTGATTGTACGTTGAATTGAGCTCATTATGATAACTTTAAAAGTGCTCTTTCTTTAAACCGCAACAATAGCTACAAAGAAAAAAATTAATCAATAATCTACAATTACAAACTAAAACAATAAATTACAAAAGGCTGCTTGGCTGGTCGGTTATACAAAGAGTCGGATTATTAATTCATTGCAGAACCCAATTACACAGTTTACAAAAGTTTCTTTCTTACAACCCCCGCTTGGGGTAGATTTAAACTTTTGTTTTTTTTTTTCCGGCAAGAGCGCAGAAAAGAAATGCTAAGGGTATTTGTTTTAACTCATTCTTAAATAACATTTTCGATTTGTTTTCAATTTCGTTTTAGTGTGGATACACGAGATTCGAACTTTGCGCAGGGCACGCACTGGTCGGATGAGACCTATCGGGAGAGGTTGTCCTTTCACGTGGAAGGACGTGCCGGCACGCTAACCATCAAGTCAACAACCGAGGATGACACGGGCGAATATCGCTGCCGTGTCGACTTCCAAAAGAGTCCGACACGCAACTCCAAAGTGAATTTAACTGTCATAAGTAAGTAGTAAGCACAACAGCAATTATGTAGCACTGCCAATGACACAGTAACATTATTGAGCAGCTAATTTGTGCAGCGACATATCCGAGGGCAGCACTCAGCTCTTGAGCAAACACATTAGTTACAAAATAAGACGCCAAGTGTATGCTCTGTGTATACTCTGCCAACAAGTTCTGTTTCCAATTTGCCTCAATTTTTTTTTGATTTCGTTTTAACTTTGTTTTGCAAACAGCTTTTAAAGTGCCAACTTGGCAAAAAGTTTCATACGGCCTTCTTCTGGCTCTTTAAGCTGGAGTAGTATAAAAAGTGCAGCGTGCAACTTTAGAATTTAATTTCAGTTATTTAAATGGTGCTCGTTGCCCCTTCGCAAAAGGTTTCTTTAGCTATGGCACTCTCTTTGATTAACTCAACTGAATTAACGATTTAATTGTGATAAAAACATTAATTAAAAAATGCATCAATATAACGAAGATAAATTGAAAATGCTTATTTTCTGCACTTAAAGTTTGTTAAATTCCAATGCAATTTTTCTCTTAGTGATTTTTTCAACTATTTTTTTAACTACATCCCCAAGTAGAATTTTTTCACAATATTTATTTTCTTTTTGTGTCTGGATATTCAACTACGTGTGTGGCAAGCTACTAGCAGCTTGCAATTTAGCATTAAAATTTATATGCAATTCTAAAGGCGTTTAGCTGAAATATACGGCAAGGTTTTCTATGGCTGGAAAAAAAAGTATTGTTGGTAAATAGTTGCTGGCTGCGTTGGCGTCGACGTCGACGTCGCTGCTGCTAGATGAAGCGTTAAGCGGCATTGGCCAACGGGGCGTGGTTATGTTTTACAAACTTCTCAAGCATGTTCAGCATCCAATGCTCTACCAACTGTGCATGTGTGTGTGTGTGTGTGTGTGTGTGTATATATACTTGTGTTTGTGACATGTGAAGCGTAAAACCATGGCTGGATTTAGAACTATGTACGTTGGTTGGCAAAAACTTTAAAGAGATACGAGTATTAGATTAAAAGTTGCCCAGGCTTGGGTGGACAGTTTAGACAACTTGCCACTGCTAATGCGAGCGGTAACAAGACGCTGTGGGTCAACTCTGGCTGCGGATAAGGATGATACTGGTGCTTCCGCTATGTCCTGGACATGTTTTGCAAATTTGCCAGCAAATATATTAAGCTCAGCTCCAGCCATTATTGCCAACCTTCTTCCAAGCTGGTGAATAACTTAGCAACATCAGCTTTGCAAGCAAAATGAAAATATTTTTAAGTGAATAATCGGAACGTGGCGCGTGCCGGCCGAGCAAACAAGTCAAAATAGTGGCAAGTGAGAAAATAAAACAAGCGAATTTGCGAAAATTAAAAGTTTGCTCAACACGTCTGCGAAAATTTACTGGTATATTTCACACAACCAGTCCTCCTGGCTAAGGCAGCTGAGCACGTGGATAGGCAAAAAAACAAAGAAAAACCAAAAAAATATGTAAATATAGAATGAAAGGAAGCAAAGCTGGCGCTGACTTTGAGTTGAAGTTTGCAACCTGGATGCTGCAACCTGCAGCCCGCCACTGGACTGGGCGTGCAACGCCCCGAGCAATGCGAATAAAACATGGCAGCCTGTCGAGACTGCAAATCAGCTCTTTAATATTTAGACAGCAATTTCTTTTGAGCAGCTTTTGCGAAGCGAAGCTGTTTACTATGCCCCCACACCCTAAAACAGCGTATATTTAAGAGAATTAAATAGATTTTAAATAAAACCGCTCGGCCAAGATTAAATAGGTAATTTAGTTAGTCGAAAAATGTAAAAAATGCTGCTTTAGTAATTTAAAAATGTTGTTAGTCCTCAATGAGTTTATTTACCCACACCTGACTCAATTTCAATGTTTATTTTCGTAACAGCTCCACCGGAATCTATCATTATACTGGACAGCAAGGGTGCCACCATCAAGGACCATACACTGGGACCCTACAATGAAGGCTCCAGTGTGAACGTCACGTGCGTGGCCATTGGCGGTAAGTTCATCCTCACGTCGCCACAATGTGGAATCGAGCAGCATTTTGGTCCAAGTGTTGACGTTGCCTTTTGTATCTGACAATTAAAAGTGATGAGCACGAAAATGCCGGCAAAGATTTCGCATTTTATTTAATTTCACATTTGCTGAAATGCTGTCGACTGCACGAACCAACAACGAGCACACCAACAATGCCCACACAAATTGCATTGAGAGCACTTGAAAATTGCTAAAAGCCAAACAAGACAAGAAATGAAATAGCGAAAGGCACTTGTGCACACACACACACTCACACACACTCACACACACACACAGGGGGCACTTGTGAGCACATAAACAAACAGTCAAAGACAGCAGCTAAATCGCTGCAAGCAACTACAAAGGGAGAGGAAAGGACGAATAGGGAGCGGTGTGGGTGTGGGTTGGCAAACTCAAGTCAAAGCCGTATAACAAACATATCAATTGCACACACACCCAGCAGATATCACGACCAACCCAAACCCCAACACCATCCCGGCTTGACCCGCTTCTTTCATCCCTTGCAGCTACCCACATGATACACTGGGTAATTCTCATTCTTTTTCATCTTCTTCGCTTTTCTGCAGGTCGACCACAGCCGAGGGTTACCTGGTGGCACGGCAATACAATGTTCAATAGCTCTGGCCTGGGCCATCCACTCTCGGAGCGACGTGTGGGCAATGTCCTATCGCTGGCGAAGCTAAAGCGCAAGAATCTTCACATGCAGCTGACGTGCCGGGCGGAGAACAATAATTTGACAACGCCAATTATCAGCAGCATCATTCTCGACATGAACTGTGAGTTTTGTGCGAAGGATGCGCTACCCGCACCACCAGCTAATTAAATTACTTTTATCTTTGTGTGTGTGTGTGTGTGTGTTTGTCCTTGCATGGCAGTGCGCCCACTGATTGTCAAGCTGCAGGGCGAGAATCGTCCGCTTTCGGCGGAGAACTCTTATCAGCTCAGCTGCGTCGTCATCGGCTCACGCCCAGCCCCAACGATTACCTGGTGGAAGGGCAGCACACCCATGAAGAATACCCATGAAATTGTGAGTACATCGGCTTAGCCCCCAAAAACCCCTTGAAATCCATAAACTTGTCTGCGAATCGCCAAGAGTTAGACTAGACCACCACCTGTAAAGAGTTGAAAATAATAAAATTCCTACTTAACTATAAAGAAATGGGAAACAAAATGTCCTTAATAACTGAAACTGTGTCCTGTAAGAAGAAATATTTTAGTTAAGTTTAAGGTCAGTTTTCGGCCGAACATATTCCAATAGCATTAAAGTTCTAACATTTAAGGACCGTTAACAAAAATCAGATCCACTGTATGCATATCGTCGTACATTTGGGGACAACTGTTTAATATGCTTCCCGACAACTCGTGCAGTTAACAGGGTGTACACATGCAAATTTCAAAGCTGGGGGGTAGCTTGTTAAAGCAACCCCAAGCTGAAGACCTAGCCTAGTACGACCCAGCAGTCAAACAGTCACCCTTCTGAACACTGCTAGTAGACATGCTTTGTGGTAATTGAAGTTACTTTAACGGCAGTCACGTAGCTGCCTTCAATTAAAAGCAAGCAACGGCCTTAACGACTGCCCATTGCACGTCTCTTGGGAGAGCTGCTGGTGCTTGCTGCTCCTTTGTCTCGCTTGACAGCACAATACACTGAAGAGGACCATTAACTGTTTTGCTATTTCGTTGACTTTGCAGGCCAATCCGGATGGTAATATGACCACATCGGTGCTGACATTCACGCCCACCATCGACGATCGCGGCAAGTTTCTATCCTGCCGCGCCGAACAGGGCATGATACCTGAGTCGGGCATGGAGGATGGCTGGAAATTGGACATCTATCGTAAGTATTATTTGCACTGTCTCTCTGACTGTCTAGCTTATCAACTGAACGCTGTGGAACGCATCGAAGTTGTTGGGTCTTGTCGGGCGAAGTGCGCTATATTTTAGCGAGTAATATCAAAACCGCAGCCAAGGAGGCGTATGCTTAATTTTTTATTTGCCTGCCTCAACTTTTTAATGAAAACGAAAGCGCAAAACGCAAAGAAAATGCCGATATCGACTTTAAATACTTTACACCCAAAAATGCTGCCAAAAGGCAGAGGATTTCTTTATTTTTTCTCTTCTTCTACTTCTTTGTTGCTGCTTTTTGTGTGCCAACTTGTGGCAAGTTTGGCAAATTAATTTCCAGCGGCGGCCGGCAAAACTTTGCGCCAAACTTGCAAAACTTTTTAACCCGCCACAAACACCGCAAGCAGCGCCGCTGACTGCGAAGCCATCTTTATGCTGTTCCAGTTTTCGACCTGTTTGCACAAAATTTAAATGGCAATCCGCCTCCCATACCTAACCGCTTCCGTTTCCTGTTGGCTTTACAGTGCGCTTTTTGGTTGCTTACCTTTTAAAATTTTTGGTTATATACATATTTTTTTTATTTTTTTTTATATCTGCGCAGGATTGTATTGAAACTTGTGGTCCATTGGGCAACCCTTTGGCCTGAGTTGGCGGAGGTCTTGTTTGCACAATTTGATAGATTGCTTAATAAGCTTAATTGATTCGCGCATTCCGCACACCAATTTTGATTTAATTAAGTTAAAATTTCAACCCAAACCGAAAACAAATTTCTCTTGTCCATTTACGTGTAGATTTATTTTGGAACCTTGCCGCTTCCCATATACAAATTGGCAGTCTACGCAGTGTATTCACAAAATCTTCCGAGCCTAGTCAAATTGCCAACAAGAGCTAACGCGGGGAGTGTCTGTGAATTTTCACACTTAAATTGCCTAATTTGTGAAGCTTACAAAATAATTACACCTTTATGTGCGCCTCGCCTATTTTATTTGGTGTACGCTTTTTATGATTATGCTTGGTCGACTTTTGTTTGCTGTGCTCTCAAATTAATTTGTGCTTTATTTTTTAGGCCGCTTTGTCGCCTTGGCTGCTAATCGCTTAAGGCCACTTTGCTTTGTATGGAACTCTAATGATTATCATATTTTCCATTCCTACATATAGATATACCTGTTGTGAGCCTGGAACTGGGCACTAACTCACTTAACGCAACTCTGCGTGAGGGTGTCGATGTTTTCTTCGAGTGCAACATCAAGTCGAATCCATGGATATATAAAGTCAGCTGGCGACACAATGTAAGTTAAAAATTATAAAAAAAAATAAACAAATAAGAAATATATTGAAAACGTTATGATAATTTTTGCGTTTAATTTGTAAACTATAGCCCAAATGTATATAAAAATTAAATAAAACGCATATTTGATTTATGTTGTCAAAGTGAACTGAGCTGAACCTTTTGTGCTACGATGTTTTTCCTTGTTGTTATTCATTTTCACATTAATTTCTTACCTATTAAGTCTAAAAGTTTTACTCATATTACCACATCTATAAGTAAAGTGCTTAATTCATCCCTACAACTCCACGTAGATAAAAATATATAGAAATAGATCTGAATACATCTTAACATAGCCTCCAGCACCATTAATATGGCTACTTCAAGACGATGCCATTTTGAATGCTTACCTCAGCCATTTAGCTCTGGGCCCAGTTAATGCATGCACAAGTGCAAAGCCAAAACGATGAAAAATTGAAGTCGGTTATTATACATTATTATTTTCATTATATTCTATACATAAATTACCCTGAGGCCACACAACAAATCGAAAAGTGGAGCTCACACACCACAAACACAAGCACATGTTGCATATTTTGAGGCTGACAGGCAGAAAAAAAATCTACACACCCAAATAGACTCACACACATATACGCTCAGAGCGGCATATAGAAATTTATACAATTTATTATTGAATTATTTAGCTATAAAAGCACTTAACAATTTATGCAGCCATGTTTCTAAATTATGCAGCCACGCCCCCTTTGTACTCAACAGAGCATCTATCGCCTTGCCTCGGGGCGTAAATGTCGGGCAACATGAAAGTGTTATAGCCTCAAATTAAATTTATTTCAACGCACAGTTATCGACAAATTGAATTTAACCCAATAAAATATAATGCATGTCTAAAAATGGCGAGTTTTCAATTTCCATTACAGGGTGAAATACTAGAAAACAACCCCGCCGAGGGCATCGTCGTGGCCAATCAGAGCCTCGTCCTGCAGAATGCAAGCAGAGCCAGGACGGGTATCTACACCTGTGTAGGCAGCAATCGCGAAGGCGATGGCGAAAGCAATCCCGTCCAGCTCGACATACGATGTAAGTAATCCAGTGCGCAAGTAAACATTTAAGTAGTCAGATAAATAGTCGGACAAAAGTTTATAGTTTATTTAATTGAATTTATGGTTCAATAAATACGAAAATTGATAAACAGGTCAACAGATTCTTTGACAAATGAATGCTCTAACAAAACCCAAAACACTCATGTCAAAACAATAAACAAGACGCCAAGCACAATAGCCATCAGCTGTGCAACTAACTAACCAACTCGTCAACATGTTGCACGAGGCACATTCAACTGAATAAACAAAAATACAAACAGGTCTATTTTAATAATAAATGGCATCAAATGCACAAGCACAAACAGAAGCAACAATTTTCGTATAAAATTCAAAATAACAAGAAGTCCAAAAATTGATTGAACTAAATAAAAGGCAGCGATACCTTCAGAACACTGAATAGAGACAGCGATATCGTATTTGTATCTTTGTGTTTATAGTGAAGAGTAAACTAAACTCTTTGTAAAAACGGAGACAAACGAGTGCTTTTGTTGTGCAGTGCTTAAGCACAAATTGAACCCAAGTTTTGCAATGTTTTGCTTTAATTATGCAAATGAGTTGCCAATTTACATACGTACTCATTGCTCACTTCTCACTGGCCTTTCTTCTTCATTTGGCAGTTGCTCCTGTTTGCCGTGCCGGGCAGCGCACCACTTACAGTTCGGGCCGCCATGAGATCGTTAAGGTTGCTTGCGAAATCGATGCGAATCCGGCGGAGGCAAAATTCGTCTGGAAATTCAATGCAACCCAAGGCGAGACAGCTGATATACCCGTATCAGATTTTGGTGTCGACCGTGGACGCAGTGTCGCCCGCTACACTCCCAGGACGGAGAACGTAAGTAGAGCTTTAGTTCACACAATGGGGTCTTGCTATAAATCACTACATGGGCAGCACATAATTTTCCAAGCGAATTGCGGTTTTGAATTTTCAATTAGAGCCCCCAAAAAGGTGTGTCGCCAACGTCGCGTTGCATGCATAAATTAAGTCAACGGAATACCATTGCATTGTCACTCATGCCCCACACACCCACACTCGCACACATAGCTCATTCCAATACACATACACTCAACTTGGTTTTGGCTTCTTCTTTTTCATTCGCAGGACTATGGAACGCTGCTGTGCTGGGCCAGCAACGAGATTGGCGATCAAAGTGAACCCTGTGTGTACACAATAGTGCCGGCAGGTGAGTACAAACCACCAACATACACAACACACACACTCACCAATCACACACAGCCAATCTGACAGGAATATACCCCACCCGCTCTATTCCCACTCTCTATCCCTCTTTCGAATGTGGTCCACGTGATTGTCCCTTTGGTCTCATTTCCGGACAGTGGCCAGCAAACGCTTAGACTCTGGCGGACAGTGTAGAGATTAGGGTAGTTAAGGTTATGTGACTGCAGTTGGGATTGCGCTTTAGATGTTATCAAAGATTGGCAAAAAGATTAATCTGAATAAAAGCTGACTACACTTCTCATAATTTGTATTTTGATTACAGGAGCTGCAGAAACACCTCTCCAAGTTATTACGTCGTTCAAATAAGCTTAAACTGTTTTAGGGTATTCAAATGTCGTTGCTTTGTTAGCCCTCTAAGTTCTGCTTCACACTCTATCAGTGTTTTTGTTTATGTTTAGTGTTACGGTTGCGGGTAGCCTGCAACTGTGCTGATTTGTTGATGACTTTGGCACTTTCGGTGCTTGGCTGGATTACACAAAGTTGTTATTGTGTTGCTGATGCTCTGAGTCAGCTCCTACTGCTACTGCTGCTTATGCTGATGTGGCTTATTGATTTTGAAATCACATTTTGTTGCATCTGCAATTGCAAATCAGTCACATGACACGTGCAACTTTAGCAATTTGTTGCTTGACTGCTAAGCAGCGGAAGCAAAAAAACTATGCCGAAAAATGTAAAAAAATGACTAACATAACAAAAAACACGAATTTTATGCTTGAATAGGCGAACCGGATCCATTGCTGAACTGCACATTGCTCAATCAAACATCGTCGGGCTTCCAAATTGAGTGCATCGAAGGCTTCGATGGTGGCCTGCAGCAGGACTTTATCATGGAGGTTTATGTGAATGGAACGACGCGCTATCCAAAAATTTACAAATCAAAGTGAGTAGACGGCAATCTGAATCTGAATTTGAATCTGAATCACACGCCGTGTGACTTTTGTATTACACAACAACAAGGCTCAACGAGGCGTAGCAAAACGCATCGTTGCCCAATCCTCAAGCCATGTGCTGCATGCAGCATTGCTCATTTATCGTTCTTATTCCCGTTTCCCGTTTCTCGTTCTCGTATTCTCGGTCTGATTTCGTTTCTGTGGTTTGCCTGTCCTGTGGAACATTCAAATATCGATTCGACGCACATTACAGCAAGCCATACTTTGAGGTGAGCGGTCTGGTGCCCGGCATGGGCTACAATGTCTTCCTCATTGCGAACAACACCAAAGGACGCAGCAATGCGACCATACTGCAGGTCTACACGCTAAAGGATCCCGAGAAGCAAACGGGTGAGTTGTCAGCCAAAGCAGGGTATCGCAACCGAATGCTATCCCCAAACAGACTGCGGGTGCGTGTGAGAGGCAAATGCATTTGCAATTTCATGCATGTCCTGCTCGGCATCCTGTCCTGCCAGTCATTGCCTACAAATTAATTGCCGCTGGTTTCGCTCAATAGAATGCAGTTTACTGTTACTCATGACTCACTCGGTCTGACGGTTTGATTTGTCTTTTAATTTGCTTTAAGTTCTTTGCTTTCTTTAACATTTCTTTCTTTATTACTGCGCTTTGGTTGCATGCTTTCAGTTACAATAACATTTACCAAGTCCTATCCAGCTCTTAAGCCATCTTATGGCAGAACAGCAACAGCAACAACAACAACTACCACTACACCAAAGCCAACAACAAGCGATTGTATTTGCGACGAGGATGAATTTATAAATGTGGAGGTGGGCAATGGGGAGTCCGATGAAGGTAGTGGCTACTTTGAGCTTTATATTTTGTATTAATTCGCCATTCTATGTTTCTTTGCTTCACTTGAATTTCATCTACAATTACTTTATCTTTACTATATATACTCACAACAAATTTATTTAGTTTTTATTTGTTAATCCAATTTGTTATTCTGTTCATTTTACAATAATGTTTAATTTTTATTTTTGCCTTAGTATTAATTTAATTTAAAGATTTGAGATTTCGATAATTGTATCCATACTCTGAAATTTTGGAGTTAAATTGTTCAATTTTGTCAAGTAATCGCTTTTCCAAATGATAATGGATTATTTATCTGGATTCCAAATGATCAAAAAGCCATTGCTTTTAAGTATCGGTTAATTTATGACAACGGTAATGAAATTCAAATTGCATTTCCCAGTTTAGAATCTGAACTTTGAAATTTTTGAATCTTATTAGCAATTTCAGAGTATTACACAAGATTCGCAATTGTTCATTTTGTTGATTCATGTTTTATGTTGTAAAACTTTTTATTATATTTTGTTTTGTTTATATGTTAAATGATTTTTATTTTTTACTTTTCATATGTTTTTTTGTTAATTTTATTTTCAATAAATTTGTATAATGTGAATATTTTATTTGTGTTACGTTATTCAATTTGTTAATTCACTAACTTTGCATACGATATGAATAATTTTCACTTTAAATTTACAAAGACCACACTATAAATCCGGACGGAATTTGCGAGCAAATGTTTCTGACTTTGGCTACTAAAAATGCCCGACATGCCGCCGGCGGCTGAGACAAAAATTAGCAACCTTAACACTGAGCGGTTTACAACGGACCACACACGTACTGGACATACACACACACACACACACACACATATATATATACATATACATATATATAAGCTACCAACACACATGCAGCTCATTAAAGCGGCACTAAATTCCAAGCACGTGCGGCAGGAACTGGGACCGACAACGAAAACAACAATAATGTGAAGGGGGACCGGGGAATGGACCCGGTGCCGGCACCGACAACGGAACGTAGTTAGCAGCTCATAAAACAATGCAAAGATAAAACATAGAGAAAGAGTAGGGGAGAGAGAGTGAATCAGAGAGAGAGAGAGAGAGAGAGGAACATTACAAAAAATATGCGAGAATAAGGACAGGCAGAAAAATATACAATGCATTCTCGTTAAATTATTGTAGTACACGCTTATCCTGTGAATTCGCCCTTTCTCACTTCTTGTCTCTTCCCACTGGTCGTGACTGCGTCCACAACTGGCCACAACTCATGCAGACCTATCGCTGGCTTATGCGCCCGTCATCGAGGACATCCGGCCATTCCTTGGCATACTGGCTGGAATTGTGGGCAGCATATTCCTTGTGGCACTCATCATCGTTGTGGTGGTGCGCGTGAGAGGCTCATCGGGACGCGATCGCAATAATTACTCGCATCCGGGCAGCACCGGCGGCAGCACCGCCAACGGCAACGGCAACCTCGGCATCCTTGGCAGCAACAACAATGGCAGCCTGGGCATCGGCACCCTCGCGCACAATGGGGGCCAATCAGTGCAGGATATGCATCGCATTGGTCGCGAGACGTGTCACGTGACGAGTAGCCTCGACAGCATTGATAAGAACCCGGACATCATACCACAAGGTGAGCGAGCCCTGTATTCCATTCTATCTAGCCGCCACCCAGGACAATTGTCTGCGGTTCTCATTATTGATTATCTGAGTGCTGTGTGGCGCCTTAGCTAACTGATGTCCACTATTTGGCAGATGGACATGACGTGGACGATGAGTGGACAACAAAGGGTCATAGTCGTGCCTATGCCACGGCTGCACTGGCCGAGCAGAATGCCGTGATTACCTCGAGCACATATGATCACATAATGCCAACGTATGCGGTAGTCGATAAAAAGTCCGGACCCCCAACAGCACATGGCCAGTATATACAATATAATACGCTTATACCCGTTAGCAAAATGGGCGCTTATGCCAATCAACAGCAGCAACACCACCAGCAGCATCCGCACCATCAGCAGCAGCAGCAGCAGCAGCAGCAACAGCAGCATCAGCAGCATCAGCAGCAGCTCCAACAGCAGCAGCAACAGAAGGTGAGTTATGCCGGGCTGAGCCCTAATCCGCACTTAGCTGGCAGTCAAACATTTAACCTTTTACAATATGGCCGCGTTGGCAGCCATCTTAATTTATAGCCAGGACAGGTGGCCGGCCAGCTGCTGGCCAAGTGCTTGGCTATATGAGTAATATCCCCCTACATCTCTCCTACCCATTCAAGTTGTAACCGGTAGTGGACCTCAGCGTTGCCGTTGTGCTGCGCATATTTCGGGTTAAGTGGTTTTTATGGCCAGCAAACAGTTCATTATTTAAGCCGGAATTGATGGGCGCTTTGTTGCTGTTACCAACTCTCAGCCCAAGCAAAACAGATAAAAGACACAGACGGACATTTGACCAGCAAGCAAATAAAGCTGTATTCCAACATACTGCAGTAAAAAACTTTATTTTTTATTTAAAGAAAACGAATTACAAGAGATTCTTAAATTATTTTAGACAATAAATCAATTTTATAAGCTTTACAATAATTGTTCTTATTAGCAGAAAAAATTTGTATTTTGGTTAAATAATTAGCAGCTTGAATAGTATGACTGTTTATTAAAATAAAATGATGGCCAACTATTCAGCCAAGCTGTTAGCCAAAAATAATTGCGCTTAATTTCAAAACCGACAGCCATAATTTCAACCATATCGGTGTGGCGCCCTCTATGCTTCATTTCGTGGCCAACGCCGACAGCGAAAATATATGTTATCGTTTGTCTAAAATGCAAGCTGAATTTCGCCCAAAACACGCCACAGACAACGTCGGTGAAGGTCGCGCAAATAAATAAAAATCAGCGAGCTGGGGGCGTTAGGGTGTGTGGGCGTGGCAGCAACAGTGGCAACCGCAGCAAAACCAACATAATTTGAAAATCATTAAAGTAGAAATTTTCTATGTATATATTTGTGTGTTTGTATGCCACGCCCACCAGCAGCAACATGGATAAGCAGCAAAAACGACCAGCGAGAAGCAGCAGCAGCAGTAGCAGCAGCAGCAGCAGCAGTAGTAGCAGCTGTAGCAATATAAATTTTCCATTTGCGAATTTAATAAAAATAAGTTGCAGGCGGACAAGCCAACAGACGATCAGCAGGAGCATAGCTAAGGAGCAAAACAGGCAAAGGATGCGCGCATTTTCTCTCTATCTGTGTGTGTGCCTGTGTGTATACTTGTTGTTGTATTTGTTGCTGTTTTTTCTTTTTTTTTTTTGCTGTTAGCCTGCAAAACTCAAAATGCAATAAACGGCAAGTGTGCGCTGTGCTCGACTTGGTACTGCAGATGCTAACTGAAAGTAGTTGCTCGAGAGGATAGGTACTATGGTGGGGGGGGCGAATTGTTGTTAAAGGCGGAGGATGGTTTGTGGGTGGCGCTGCCCAGACACATTACAAACAGGCACTGCAAGCAAGCATTTCATCCAGTGGCTGTGGGCGTTGCAATGTCGAAGTCAGCAGCAACCAAACCAACCAAAAATAAAAAGCAAAACACATTTTTACAGACATTTGTACACAAATTGGAGAGGTGTGAAAAGCAGTACTAAGAAATGCTTCTTGACAATTTTGAACAGATTTTGCGGATGAAATTAAATCTGTGGATGAGCTTAGTAACTTTCTACGTAGGTCAACCTCAAAGAACTATTCACTTAAGTCATAAGAAAGAACTGAGCAATGTAATTCTTTTAAATAATTTGAATACTTGATTTCAATCATTTCTTGTGTTGTCACAATCCTTAAATAATGTCAATTATTTGTTAATTGATATCAAATTACAACATTCTATGAATATGTTCTGTTCACACTTGAAGCTTAAATGCTCAGCTCCAGGATATTCCCAACTTGGCAAACTTTACACCTGACAATTATGCAACTGTTGGGCCAAATTGAAAGTGCTTGACTTGACATAATCATCTCACACACTCTCTCTCTCTCTCTCTCTCTCTCTCTCTCTCTCTTTCTCTCTTTATCACTCTTTCTCTTTCACACAGACTGAGCTCAGCTATAGCGAGCTGACTGCCCCAATGGTGGGCAGCGCCGTTGGCGTCGGAGTTGGCGGCGTCCAGCGTTTGACGCCCTATTGCAGCGCCACCTTGGGACGTCCGAGGCAGTCGGAGCTGAAGCGAGCCGAGCCGAACATCTACTCGCAGGTAAATGTTATGATGGATGATGAAATTTTGGCGGACTGGCAGACGGCCACGGCGTCGGGCAACAGCTATGTGGCTGGCGCTGTGGTCGATAATGTGGGCGGCACTGGCTCTGGTCTCTACATGCACAGTTATGCGACACGTGTGTGAAGCCCAAGTATTTACTTTAATTGTTTTTGTTTTGTTGTATTTTGTTTGGTTTTTTGGTAGTGCTGTTTAGTGGTATGATTTGTTAATTTGATTTTTCACTTGTATTTTACTTTAGCAATAATAAATTTGAGAAAACTTTGTTATTACTGCATTCGTTGCTCTTTATTTGCTGCTGCCTCAGCGTGTTCTCATTACAAGCTGCCACAAGATTTTTAATTACTTCTCAAGAGATGGGGCAAAATCAATTATAGCCACCGCAATCCGATGGCCCACACACATAGACGCATATATACACAGTCAGTTGCAGTTACAGCTGGCAAATCAATAAACTGACAGCTGGCACCAACAACTATGCAATAGCTTCACACACAAATATTTGTCTTCTATTGACAAAAAATGTGCTCGAAATTACGCATACCCAGGATAACAAGAACAGAAGAGTTAAAAACAATTTTGTGCAGCTGCAATATGATTTGAAATACGTTCGTATTTGTGTGTCTGGGTGTATGTGTTCGTGTGTGTGTGTGTGTGTGTGTATGCCAAACTGAATCAAGCTAGTGCTGCACAACGCAATGAATATGCATTTGTCACCCAGCAGGACGTATACGTAATGCGAATGCTAGTCGAACATAACACACAAATAAATCTAGCTGAGCAACATACAAGCTTGAATACGCTTTAAAAAAGTGATTCATGACCCGAGTAACGATTGGGAATATATATAATAATATGCACAGTATTCACATTATTAAACTAAATCATCTCAAAAACAAATTCAATGCATTTTATTGTAAATTCTCAAAAGAAAAAGAATGCTTGTTGGCTATAAATATTTTTCTGTTCTAGGAAATTGTTTTTTTTCTCATCAGATAAATAAGATATAAATTTATATATATTTAGTTATTAATTAATTTTCTGTAACTACAGTAGTTTCCTGTGAATGTTTCTCGCAAGTCGAAATTAGAACTGAACTTGAGGTCAGTCTGTAACTTGTCCACCTACTTCCATGGGATTTTAACTTAAATCATGTGCCCAGGTCCAGGTAAACGACAAGTTTAGCTACCCACTTTGCTGGCCATTGAGTTGAGCCTCCTCCTGTTGGGAGGACTGGGCATTGTCTATGGCCTGCTTTGATTTCAACAATTATTGTAATGACTTGAGTTATGTTCATGTTCTGCACTGGCATTTGTACTTGTGACTGGATGTTATTGCTGGGGCTCCATGCCAGAACTGGCTGCTTTTAAAATACACTTAAGCAGAACATTTTATGTGTGTGTGTGTGTGTGTGTGTGTAGAACATTGTCAATGTGCATACAGCAAACAACTTTTATGGGCGAAAAAAACAACAACCACATTGAATGGAAGCAAGGGAGCAGGGGAGCAAAGATGGGGTCAAACCATTCACCTAATGACATTGTATGGCTTTATTGTCATTTATTGAAAAGTTGTACACGACACAGTTCTCGGACCAGCAGGCAAAAATGTTTGCCGTTGATTTTAGTTCTCTGTTTTATTATTTTTAATTCGATTATATATGTTTGTATTTTGTATTTTGCACAACTATAGCTGCTACAGCTGTAAGTGTTCTTATCGTTGTTGTTGTTGGTGTTGTTGTTGATGCTGATGTTGTATGTTTTCAAAGTTTTCAAACAGCGCTTTGCGCCAGAGTTTTTACAATGGGTATTCAGGTCATTTTAACTTTTAAATGGTGTGGGACAGAGTAGCGTCGAAAAACAAATAACTTAATCAGCTTTGCCTTTTATATTGAACAATGGAATATTTATGACCCGCCATTCCATTTTAATATTTTAATTATGGTCAATGCAGAAAATTATGCTTCAATTTTATTTTAGTAATTAAATTTATATTTTAAGCCAAAAAATATCAAACAAAACAAAGAAGTCAACGAAAAATGTTGACTTGGCAAGCGCAGTATCAATATCTTAACAGTTACCTTTTCTGCGCCAAATTTATTTATTTAGAAATACACAGATTAATTTGGGACACAGTTTTCGGTTGTTGAGAAACTGAGAAGGAAATGTTTTTATGCACACAAGTCTCCCTGTGTCGGGGCATATTTTGATAGTGGCCTGTGCTATTCAATTTAAATTTATTTTGCGTTAAACATTAATTTCATTCAAAGCAAATTGAGAACATTCAGACAGCAACATTAATTCTGGCCCACAACTGTACCCACAACTGTACCCACAACCACATAATCACACTTGGAAACACTCACTGACACACACACACACACACACACACACACACACACACACACACACACACACAAGCACTCACACTTTCGCATTTTCTCCCAGCGGGCAATTATTGTAGACAGTGTATGGGGGATGAAACTGGCGCTGGCTAAATAAACGCCAATTGCGGCGTAATGGTAACTTGGAACAACAATAACAAATACCAACATCAACAACCAACACATTAACAAAAACATAGAAGCGCTGGTGCCTCCAACATGTGCAACCACAAATGCGTACACAAAGACACGTGTACATATGTATATATAAATAGCTCCCCCACCTGTACATACATAAAATACCTGCATGCACGTACATATATTAATTTGAGTTTGTAAGTCAACAAAATAGCTGATGTAACTAGAGCTAAACTATCAACGAGGGTTACTCAATAACAACTCAACAAATAATTAACATTTAAATGTGAATGAGCTGAAAAGTATTGAGGAGGGTTCTTCCTTCTTAATGAAAAGCATGGAAAGAACAAAAACATTTTGTAATTGTAGAACATTTCGAGCAGCCCTCGTTGCAACTGCCATCCATTTAACTATCTAACTGTAAATAAGGCAAAACAGCTAACAGTAAACAGCTGCGTTGCAAAATCAGCACACACGAAACTCTCAAATTTCTGCATATAAATCATTACATGTTGCACTCTCCCTCTCTTTCTCTCTTCTTTCTCTTCCTCTCTTTCTAACTGTATATGTACTCCCAATTCTCTCACACTCACACACATACACACACTCACACTCACGTATATGTAGATCGATCTGGCACATCATCCCATGTACTCGACGAGTCCCATGTTCGGCACGAACACCACCATCACCGGTGTCACCATGTCACATCCATCACAATTGGCCACCTTCTCGCCAACGCCGCCGCCGCCCATCTTTGCGCACAGCGTGGTCACCACTGGCGACGGGCTGCTGCAGCCGGTGACGTGCATGGGACTGGTGGCCACATCTTCAGCAGCACCGCCCGTCGTTCAGCAGCAACAACAGCCAGCGGCCAATGGCGCTGGCGGAAACGGAAGCATCGTTGGCGTCAACGTTGGCGTCGGCGTCGGCATGAGCCTCTATGGCAGCGATGTGGTAAGTGTCTCTTTGATGAACTTCTAGTTCTGTGCTGGGCAACACCAGCTACTGGTCGCCAACTCCCGACTGCTGCTGCTTGCTGCTGCTTGTTGATAGCACCCAGTTAAGGGAAAGTCGCTTAATGTCCAAAACGTTAAAAGCATCAATATGCAAAGTGAGTTTTCTTTGGGTTGGACTTGATGGGTGGGTGGCAAGCATTTGTCTTGGGCAGACGCCATGCTACATGCTATCCCACGCCCAAAAATCTGTTGTTCCTTTTCATAAATTGGAGCCACTGGGGCAGAAAATGGATTTTTGCGGTTGGTCTGATAACTGCTCAAGGGATTGCTGAGTAATATGCGCCATGTGCCGGCAAAACCCAAGTCAGAAAACTTCAAAATCCAAAAAACAAACAGCAACCACAAGATGGACAACTCAGTTGAGTGTTTGTTAATTAGGCTAAAAAGCTTTTATATCTTAAAACGGTGGAAGTAGATTATGCTCATAATGCTGGAAAAATATACATTATTACCGTGTGTGTGAATACACATAGAGAATTTAAGAGTTAAGTAAACATAACTATAGCATGTTTGGTATAGTCCCGGTCAAACTTTGCTTATATTGTTTCTCTCACCTAAAAATTGCTATCTATTTTTCATCTACTAAAATAAGTTTAACCCATTAAAATAAGTTATTTCACATGCCAAAATTCAGCTCGACAGATTAAACTTTTTAAGGACCACTTGATCCATGACTGTTTAAATTTTAAACCCAAATTTAATGGCAAAAGTTCAAAGCGGTAAATGACCCCAGAGTGTGCACAAAAATGACAGCCGCAGTAGGATATAAAAAAAAAAATAAAATACAAAATCAGTTTTCGTTCGCTCCTTCTCTCTCTTGCTCTATGCTTTATTCTGGCTCTGTCCTCGTCACTCGTATTATCTGTGTCATTTGCTCTATAAATATGCCATTATATGTACACTTGGCGACGCGCATTGCGTTAGTCCTGGCGAATGCTGCAGGCGCAGGCATTGCCGCCATTGCATTGTCCTTACTGAGTCCTTACTGAAATTCGCATTACACAAACTTGGACTATCTATCTCTGTCTGCCCTTCATATCCGTCCCATCGTTGACTTTTTTGCAACAGTTTCACGCTAAAGGACACTGCGGTGTGGCAACTTTTGACTCTAATGATTGCAATTATTATGGCCCGCAAAAAAAGGACCAGCAACAGCAACGGAATTTACAATGTACTCATTTTTTTCTACCGTTGTCCTTCCTTCAGCTCGGAGAGTGAGTTGTTGTTCTCTATGTGTGTGTATGTTTGAGTCCCAAGAGTTTTTTGAAAAATGCACGCCAAAAGGCAGCGAGGCGCGCAAAAGCCAACCGAAAACACAGGACCAAAGCCAGAACAAGGAGGGCAAGGGTTTGAGAGCCATAGAATGGGCTCTGTATGTGACTGTTGCTATGTTGCCTGGGGAACTGGGAGCAAGCAGCAAATGGTTAGATTTGGCACAGCGGTACACTGGATGAAACCAAATGACACGCATACGCCCAGTTAGCCCCGTCTTGCCACTGTTTCTCGGCCACTTCTCTGCCAGTGCATGAGTCAGTTGTGGGGCATGAGAATTTGTAATAGCTGCGGGTACTCAAATAATGCGCGCCTCGTTAATTTTAAAGCATAGCTCTTTGCTGTTCTTCGTAATTTCGACCAAGACCCACGCCAATTTGGCTGTCTGTTATTTTATTTTATTTATTTTTTTTTGGTTTTGTTTTTTACTTCCTTTTTATATTGCTTTCAACTTGTCATTGCGTTGTCTGTGCTCTATGGACTTATGATTTTGATATTCAGCAAGGGGTATTAAAAGTAACGTTTAACCGAAGAAGCAAATTTAATAGATATTATTTACCCATGCTTAGGTTTACACGCCAGTTGAAATATTTTATGATTATAAATTGTTATTTTCCGCTTTCCATTTATTTTGATGCCAGGCTAAGCCACAACTATTAAAGACCGTGCCCGAGGAGTTGCATCATCAACTAAATGGCGAAGAAGTGCTCATCAGCCAGGATCGTAATCATGGAACGGGTACGCGATTTTGACGCTAAATGAATGCCGAGCAGCAAATGATCTAAGCCAGAAACCAATCAAATCAAAAATGGAAGAGAAGCTTAAGGAGACAAGGGGGGGGTGAAAGTGTATCGGAAGAACTTGGAAAAAAATGACTATAAGTTATGTGATGTGCGCGGAAAGAATTTAAATCGATAACATAAAAACTGCCGCCAAAGCATTTAGAGGATGGGGATATGATTGATTCCGAATGAGCGAATGGAAAGCACTTTTTAAAGCAGCAACTAAGATAAAAAATGCGCCAAATAATGTAAATTAATAATTACAACAATAAACTACGCATGTGAAATGTTGAGATGGAAATGAAGCACTCAAAGAGGGAAACACGTAGAGAACTAGCAAGAAATTTCAATTAGGTGTAAGTGTCCGTGTAAAATATCCAATACTAACAACTTAGAGCTCTAAATAATAATTGAATCTATTAAAATGAATTAAGATGTATGACGTGAACACTGAATTGTTAATATATTTTTAAATAACAGCTTTAAGCGCCAGAAATCTAGACAACTTTTAGCTAAGTAAAAACAAATTCATGATTGTTGTTAATTTGTGTTGACGTGTAAGAAAAAAGCACAGACATTAAAATTTAGCTTGTTCTTAAGACATAAATACAATTTATTACATACACATACACATACACGCATACACATACATATAAATCAAATCCATATAGTTGTAAGCCCCATTAAAAAAAAATGTAATTAAAAACAATTTGTTTAGATACTCGTCAAAGGTCAAACAAACGGCATAATGAATTTAAAAGCTAGCTAAATTAAGTGAACTTAATAATAATAAATCGTTAACTTAACAGAAATTAATTCAATTTAGCAACGCGACGTTTGCATTTTATACGTAAAAACGAAAATAAATGAAAGAAATGCCAAAACTTGATAGCATGAAGAAAGCTAACATTTAAACAAAAATGAAGAAAAAACGAACTCTAACTGTAACACATAAATAAATAAATACTAAATATAAATGGGAAATAATTAATTAATTAATTACACTTTAAGCAACTGCATGTAAAATATTTAACTGAAGCAAAACAAAAACACTCGAAGGAAATGTATTTAGTATTAAAATTTATATTATAATAAACATAGTTAATAAATTAAATTTAATAAAATGTATTATTAAAAAAAATCAAGTGTTGAATATTCTCTTTGTATCATTTTCTGATGATTCAGATCTTTCTTGGGCTCATTGACCTGCAGATAAAGTTCTCTCTTTCTCTCTCTCTCTCTCTCGGGAAGCATCGACAATTCGTTGTAATTTTGGGTAGCCAAGCCTTTTGGTAACTGTAGGCGGCCAAGTGGGCGTGGCAGTGTCCCACTATTCATTGGGTGTGTGTTGTGTTTTGTGTGTTTGTCGTGCGCCTTGTAACAAACGCCAAATATTGACAGGGCGCGTGTACAAACACACGGAAACGGAAGTCAGGCTGAGTAACATGCGACCACAACAACAGCAACAACAACAGCGAAAACGACAATGACAACAATCATTACACAGCACAACAAGAATAACAACTACAAAGTTGTCGTTGTCGTTGTCGTTGTCGATACATCGTTCAAAAATTGTCAGCCATGTAAATTTTGTATGCGAAAGCACTTAACACCATTTTCGCTTAAGCAGTGCAAACAGACAAGGACTGAACTAAGCACAAGTATAATGATAGAGGCAGGAAGACTGTCACACAGACCGATGGACAGGTGGACAGGTGCACAGGCTGTCTGCCTACTAGTTGGAACTGGGCCCAGATCATAGACATCATTTATGACTGGGCCTACATGGAAAGCAAATTATGCAAATTTTGACCGCAGCGTCGATGACTTGTAAATTTTGGCGGCGCAACTAGGTTGAAGTCTGTTTAGATTTGAAGATATGCCAAAAGGTAAGCACAACACACACACACACACGAATTCCCAAGCACACACACACATACAGAGGGACGAGTCCTGATAGATGCAAATATTTGGCACGTTATGAATACCTTTCCTGCACTTACGCTTCAAGAATCACCAGGTGGAAGCCTCAAATTGATTTTGGTCACATGTCAAAAGGTAAAACCACAGAGAGAGAGTGGATGCCACCGCTATCGCAATGCTGAGAATGTAACACGCCAAATGAAAACCAATTAATCAAAAGTCACTACATAAATTATAAATTAAATGGATATTTAGGTTGCTGTTGTCCCTTGTTGTTGCTGTAATCATATTTATTGTCTGGCAGCTGCCTCAAGGGTCATCAATCAAGCGGCAATTAAACGATCCAAAATTTGGCTCAACTGTATTGGATTTTTATTAATTTATATTTAAATCATGCAAGGGCAACCGAAGCACAACCCTATGACGCACAAATAGCATTTCAATTGTTTTTTCAAATCATAAATGAATATTTTAAATGGATTTGGTTTTAGTACCCAGCTACACATATGCAAAATATATTTTTACTCTTGTCGCATGTATAAAGTAGAACAAAACAATTTGCAAACTAATGCCATATTCAGCGGGGATGTCTGCAGCGGTGATGGCTAAAAATGTATATGTGTTAAAAAAAAGTAACTTCAATTCATATTATTTGTTATCATGGATGAGAGGTGAGTAAAAAGTTTATAATTTATTAATATGCTCTTCGTAAATACGCTTTTCGTCCGGTTGATGAGCTGTCAAATACAACTCAACAGGGTCAAACGCTCAAATACAATTCAGTCTATAAAACAGCTCTCGACACGCCTGTGTCTGTTATTTACACATTCTCTTTTATACCCAACACTTTTTACTAACTTTTATGGCAACCAACAATTTATGAGCAATGCCGTGGCAAATAAAATGCAGCCTCCATCCGCTGTATGTCGAACCCATTCAGAAGATATGACTCCCATACCCCTCTATCCATTTCACTTTACTAGTTTCGCACTTTGGGACAACCAGCAATTTCATTGGGCAAGTGCATTTACGATTTTGGCAGCCACCATTCGCAGCAGTTGCATCTTTGCACTTGATTTTTATTAGCCGAATTAAAAGTGTTTCACACTGGCACATTTTACTTTATGCTTCTCTTTCTGCATATCTGTCTCTTTCTGTTTGCCGTAACGCTATCTCTGTCAAACTGCATCTAACGATGATAAATGGCAAACCGAGTTCGCTTACAATTCGCAATTGTTAGAGACTGAGCGCAATTGGTAAAGTTTTCATGTATTTATGCAACATTTGCTTTTAATTGATTGTTAAAAATGACAAATGACTTTCGGTCTTCCAGTCAGTCCGTGTTATTTATGTGATGGTCGAGCTAATAAAACGGCTTTAAAGTGTGCGAAAATTAAATAAACGCCATGCAATTAAGCGCATTTTTTTTTTGTTTGGCTCTCGCACACTTAAGCCGCCATTAATGCGACTCCACGGCACGGATCTTGTCCATCTTCGCTCCTCCAACTGCCCACTGTCCGCCTGTCTCTTTGTCTGTCTGTCTGTCTGTCTGTCAGCCATTTTGCTCAGCGCAGTGCAGCTGGCTGATTTATAAGCCGACACTTACAACTGAAACGACAACGGCCACGACGTGCGACCATTGCGAGAGCTGACCACTGAAATTTTCTTACCACTGATTTATTTACATTTAAGCAATTTCATCGCCGCGGCCATTGAATGAGGAACGGAGTAGGGGGGAGGAGGTAATAGGAGGGTAAGCGTCCCCGGAAATGCACAGCATTGCCAGCGGAAATTGGCAAGTAGTTCAACACTCTCTCTCCCTCTCCATTGCTATATATCTCACTCTCCCTTTCCCTCTCCCTCTCTCCATGTCTGATGACTGCTGCCAAAAGATTAATGCCGCTGCTCTTATTGTTCGGCCAGTTTGGTCACTCGTTGGCCGTTTTCAACAATTTATAGTAAATAAAAGTGACACAACTACAAAAAAGAATATATATTTAAAAATTAATTCGAAGCTAGCAAGTGCACAGCACTTAAGAATTAATGTAAAAAACCGAAACTTTTGTTGATTTGTTGGCTTCTAAGTGTCAACAAGACTATTGTTACTTAATATTTCATTCCATTCGTTCAGTATTCTAACATTTTTCATGAAAATCTACTTTTTATTACCAACACAAATAACCTTGTGTTGGAAGTATGTTAAATACAACGTCGCTGAATGCGTTAAACTATTCCCAAGAAAACTATTTAAGCGTTCAACTTAAGCCATACTTTTATCTCTATACACTATCTTATTGATTTATCTGTAGCAACCGCAAAGGTATTTTAAACGATGGCATTGGCTCGCACCGCAAAACTAAATTGGCAGACAAATAAACACAGGCAGCCACAAGGCTACAAATAATTTGCAGCAAATCTACGCAAATTTCGGGCAAACAAATCCATTTAATACGACTGCAAACAAACACGCACTCAAACGGGATCCGGTTAAAAGGGGGCATGTAGCATGGGGCATGGGCCATGGGGCACATATACATTTAGACGGCAACACCTTTGTGACACACGCAGCAGGCAGCTAACAACATTTGAAGGTTAAATATATTGCCAAGCGACATAGCCGCGAGGCAAACATATGCCCAGCGCCGGCAGTCATAAATATTTGGGATAGCGAACCGAAAAAAAGGGTTAAATAAGGACGAGCATATATACATACACCTGTACATATACGCGTGGAGAGGGAGACAGAGACATAGGGCACATTTACATAGAAAGTACCTGGCGGTGCACATTTCCTGTCTTTTAGCTCCGGTCTCGCTTTCCGGTTAATATGGCGGCGTCAAAACAACATTAAACATGGACCCGACTGCGTACCACGCATGATGCCAGACGGAAGTGAATATAACACGCACTGCGTATACGTAATACATATGAACATAAAATTTGAAAAGCAACTCTCGACAATACGCTGGGCTGGGAAGTCCCGTTTTGGGCCAGCCTCGCCTCTTCATACAGTTTGCAAATTATTTTTTTAGTACTTTATTCAATGCGCATTAGGCGCGCACTCAGCTCCGGATTTGGGATCGGGTCTCTCTTGCTTACGCGGATTTAAATCGTAAATAAATCGTAAAATGCGACCAAATGTGAATAAGGTTTCATTTGGGGTCCTCTCATGTATGTGTATGTATGGTAAATGTGTCTCAGCCAACTGAGATTGCCAGTCCGTGCTTTTTGTGCGCATACAAAAAACTAACTAATGTGAACCTTTTAATTTATGTTGAATTTTTTACAACTTTGCGTGTGAACGGGTACAGCTCGCTCAGTTTTCGGGGTGCGATGATTAGGTTCCCAAAGTGTTGGCAATTTATCTCACAAGAAAAAAGAAACCCATAAAAGGATAAGTCTGACGCACGTGTGCGTTGAAAGCAGAAACATGTCCACAAAAAGGTATTTAAGCATATAAAATAATGGGCTGTCGTGCATTGATGTCAGATATTTAGTTTTTATGTTCTTAAAGATTAACCACAATACAATACAGATAAATGTGAGTTAAGTATTAAAGCATACAAATTGTATCCAATAAATTATACTATGACAAGATACAAATTTTTAAAAGACAATTGATGTTTATTTAATTTGGAGGCTTATAAAGATAATTAAAAAATATTTAATTCGAAAATTGATTCTACTTTTGATATAAAAAATTATTTATTTTTTCCAATCATTCGTTAATAGGCATTTTACAAATTTAATTTAATAAGCAAATTATTCATAATCATTTAATATACAAAAATTAAGTTAGTAATTATTATTGATATTATTGTTATTATAGTGTGTCATACAAAATGTAAATTGGCTTAACTGTGTGTCTTTGCTTTCATTAAAACTATACTGACCGGGGACCGCAGAGTCAGACAGTCAATTGGCTAATTCGCTGCATAAAATTCATTTGGCATTTTCATTATTTTGATTGAATGTTTGCTATTAACCAGTGACGCGGTGCTTGCCACAGCCACTCGCTGACTGA